TGCCGTCAGGATAAAACAAGGGAGACAAAGCAACGTGGCGGGCTGGGCACGAACTGCACTAGTGGTTCCAGCTGGTGGAGGTAGTGTCCCCGTTGGGGACTTTCGAAAATGCATATGATGCTTTCAGTTGTCACATTGACAAGAGACATTGCTAGCGTTGGGAAGTGGGTGCTGGGGTTGATAACTATCCTCCTACAATGCGTAGGATGAACAAGTTGCATTTTCCTCATCCGTAAAGTTGGGTAAGAATACATACTGTATGAGACCAGTTTGGACATTGCTGATGATGTATGTGAAGCAGTGGACACAGGGCTGGATGCATAGTAGGGACTGGTAAAGAATCATTGGCATACCTGTCAACCCTTCAGCGACTTCCCAGTCCACTCAGAGTTAAATCCAGAGTCCGCACAGTGGCCTGCGGGGACCTGTCTGGGCTGACCTCCTGCTCCGTCCGAACTCATCTCCAGCCAGCCTTTCTCCTGGCTCCGCTCCAAGCACGCTGGCCTGCTTGCTGTCTCTCGGCCCTCCCGAGAGATGGGCCTACCCTGGACCTTCTACACTTCACCTGGCTTCCATGTGGATGGCGCTACCCCAACATGCACCGCTTGCCTGTCTCCCTTACTCCCTTCCGTTCCCTGCTCCCCTTGTCCGAGGGGGCTTTCCTGATGCCCAGTAGAAAAATGGCAGCCTGGTTCTCCGCAGCCACCCCTTCCCCTCAGCTCTTGCTCTTTTCCTTTCTATCACCCAGTAAATTAAAGTTTGTTTTTTTTTTTCTTCTTCTTCTGGTCTGTCGCTTCCAACCGATTCTCCCATCACTATTAATTGAGGAAAGCATGGTCCCTTTATTTTGATATGAGACTGCCTTCATGGTATAATGATGTGATTATCTTTGAGTATGTGTTTTGAAATTGGTCGCAAATCTGCAGAGGTCATCAATAAAATTAGCCATAGCGTGTTAGAATTGTTGCGGTTTCCTGTCTGCTTGGAGGAGGTGTAATTATTCTTTAGTTGGATAATAGGTGTTTGCTGCTCTGTTGATATAGGCATGGACTTGGGAAATGCTTCGAAAGGTTATGTTATAAAAGAAACCACTGGCTTGGCGTTCTAGAAGTTATAAACTATGGTGCTTATTTAAAAGATAGGTATTTTTATGTAAAATTTCCTTCGTGCTTTGGCAGGTGCAGCCATTTCTCTGAAAGATTTTTCTTTGTGTTATCAAAAACGTGTCTTAATTTAGTGGCTTATGGATACACACAACCGTGCATGCTCTGTTTCATACCAGAAACGCTGTAGGGAGATACGTATAAGGTTTCCTTTGTTCTAAACTAACATTTGTTTTTAGCCTAACCTTTTGATAACATTTAATATCCCAAAATAGCTTCTGCAGTCTGCAGTAACTCAAGTAGCATAAGCATTTTACTGGACGTTAGCATCTCCCCCTTGAAATATCCCTCTGCCTGTGATATCTTGAAGACACTTGGGAGGTTCTGTTTCCGCAGGTAATTTCTAGATAAAGAAACCTTGAGATGCGCTGATGGTTTGAGGCAGGACATCTGAGGTTGTTTTCTAATGCAGGAACTGATTAAGAGCTCTCTTTGTGGCCTGGTGAGGGGCCATTAAGCACAATTATGTGAAGAAGTGAATTACCTTCTTACACTTGGTGTGTCCTGGGAAGGCTGTGCAATTGTTTATTGCACAGTGCTTGACTTTCAAAACTTGGGTCTGTGGTTGCATGGCAGATAATAAATATTCTGATAAAAGAGTCAAGAAAAGTGTGGTGTGTGTGGGGCGGGGGGAGTGGCAAGTGATGAGTAGCAGTTCAGTCAACAAATAATTATTGATTGAACACTGTCGCCAGAGAAGCTGTGCCATTATCTGTGCTTTTCCCTTCCTTCCAAACCTATTCCCCTTATGCCACCAAAACAAATCATACCAAGATTACCAATAATCTGTAAGGCATCACATGGATGCTTTCAGGGCTGGAGGAGACTAACCTGCAATCAGCACCCATGTTCTTGACCACTTCCTCTATAAAACGCCCTTCCTCTGTCTTCTCTGTTCTGAGTTCTGTTTGTCATAGGTGATACCACACTTCCCCTCCCCCACCCCTCTTGCTGCTGCTGTTGTGTTTTTTTGTGTGTATTTTTAAAATTCTCCTTTGCAAGTTTATCCTGCTTGAACAGACTGTGAAGTGCTGGAGTTCCTTAAGGCTCATTCCATCTTTTCATCTTATACTTTTTCTTGGCAATCCCACCCATATCTCTGCCTCCAGTTAGCATCTGAATGCCAGTCTCCCTCAAGTCTATCTCTAAACCTGACCCCTCTCTTAGCTCCACTAGCATGTGCCCAGCTGCAAACTTGGCTTCTCCACCCGAACTTCTCAAACACAAGGAAGCCCACGCTGAGCTTAGAATATCCCTTGGACTCCAGACCTCGGAGTGAATGGCCCTTGTACTCTTTTATCAGGCTGGACTCAACTCTGACATTCTCCAATCTTATTCCCTTTATTGGATTCTGTAAACTCAGCATCATTACCGTTTCTCCGTGTCTGTCCTCTTTTCTTTACTGATAGAAAAAGAATCAGAAGAACATAGGTGTAAACAACACAGTCAACCAACTTCAACTAAATGACTTCTGTAGAACCCTTCAACTGCATAATCAACCGTAAACTGCGCCGTAGAGAAAGCCTCCAACTGTAAAGGAATGAAAACATAGAAATTTTTTTTCTGACTTAATCCTTACGAATTAAGTTAGAAGTCAAAATACAGAGGTAACTAGACCATCTTATATATTTTAGAAAGTAAGCACTATACTTCTAAAAAAAAATCCCATGTGCCATAGAAGAATTCAAAATGGAACTTAGAAAATATTTTTAATTGAATTTTAATGAAAATATGAAATATCAAAAGTTGTAGGATTAAACTAACTCAGTGCTTAGAGGGGAATTTATAGCATTAGGCGCATAAATAAGAAAATAATATGGTCTGAAAATCAATATCTAATTTTCCATGTAAAAATTTTTTAAAAAGATTAGCCAGTCAAACCCAAAGAGTATAGAAAGAAAGAAATAGTAAAAAAATAAGCATATAAGTCAATAAATAAAATCAACAAAGAAAAAGTTTTAAAAAAGATTAGTAAACTGATAAACCCCTTGCAAAATGAATCAGGAAGATAAGAGATACAAACTATTACCAATATACTGTTACGTATTGACTTGGAAGCCCTGATCGGTGCAGAAAAAAAAAAGGTGTTTTGGAGAAGATGAAACAAAACTGTCCTTATTTGAAAATAATTTAGAAAATCTACATTGAAAACCAAAATTAATTATAATTCGGAGACAAATTATTAGAGTTAATAAATGAATTCAACAAGATAGTTGGAATTAAAATTCATGTATAAAAAAGTTAATTGTTTTTCTGTACACTAGGAATTCACAATGAAAATATAAGAAATATATTAATAACCATACAGCTGGGAGATACCTGGGAAATAATTTAGCACAATATGGGCAAGGTCGTTTCTGTTACAAGAACACCTAAATATACCCAGGTGCACAGATTCTTCTCCCATCTGTCAGGGTGCTGACTAATCATGTCGAATGTCATTGGCCTTTATCATTTTCCATAAGCATACACCATCAGATTTTCACTTTTATTAAATTTAGTTTAGATTTTTCTCTCCCTCCTCCCCATTTTAACAGGATGTGGTATGAAATTTTCTTTCTACTGGTGAGAAAAAAAATACTTTGATGGTTAACTAAAATGATATCTCAGAAATGACATCTTCTGTCTAATAATAAGTACCTGCCGCACTGTCGTTTGAGTTGATATTGTGATTGCGAAAACAAGGCCTTTTCGTCACATTTGCACTGAGGGAGGACTCTGAGAAACACCACATGAGTCTGTGTCACTGACTAATTCCAATACACATAGTAATGACTTAGGTCGCTGTCATTCTCAGAACCGCTTTCCTTCGTTGTGTTTCTTATGCAGATAGTGATTGTGGTCCAGGTTCAAAAAGAACCTCTGGGGCTGGCATTCAAAAGATTCGTTCTTTTTCCATTTGGCCATTTGCTAGCAGGCAGCCGGGGAGGATGTCTCGGTAAAAACCGTGATAAATGAAACTTCCATTAGACTCCTTGGCTTGCGGCCATTTCCTGTAAAGGCTTGTCCTGCTCTTAGTGGTCTGAAGAAGCAGAAAGCTTATTTTCTTCCAATAAATGAAAGCTGAAGTTTAGCAGGTAGAGCCTCATAGGTGTCTTGTTTTGTGAAGAGACTGAGCTTCTAGCACCGATGGCTTGTGGAACCGGGGTTAGGGTTGAACTCGTAGGCCTTTGGACATCTATGAACTTATGTTATGCTGGGAAATGGAACAAACACGTTTAAGTTTGTTTTTAAATATCTTCTGGGGTGAGGAACACTGAACGTATTTTAATTCTCAGATAGTTGGGTTTATCTCACAAGTCTTCTCTTCAAACTTAACTGTTTCTTGGACTTATTCTCTCAAGTTTCTTTTATTCTGAATGATGCACTGTTGCCTGGAGGGGTGACATTTCCAAGCATCAAAGAGACCACAGTTCAACAGTATGTTGGGTTTATGAGCACGTCTAAGAACGCTTTATGGAGGAGCGCACATATTATTGTATTTATAAGTTTATAGTTTGTATACCTGGTTCTGTGCCGCTTACACACATGAGGGAATTATGGTCAGAATGCTTTTGCAAAATTTATTAAAAGAGGTCTGGTTCGCAGAAAAATGGAATAAAACCACTCTATCCCTTATTCCCCGATAAACACAAATATGGAATCTACATAAAATGCTAGGCCAAGTTCCTTAAATAAGCGTTTCCTGATATTTGTAGACATAACTATCAGGTGTTTCAATTGTGATCCTTTGATGGAAACTATGATTTTGAGTCACGTTTCCCACTTCGATGGGTTCTGACGCCACAGGGAAGCCTCACGTTCTGTCGCCTCATGCTCTGTGTCCTAGGACTCCCTGAAGTTTTCTGCAGAGACGCACTCTTTCGCAGAGTGACTTCCAGGGTCTTCATGCAGCCATGGATCTGGATAAACCATCTGTCTGGGGCTCATTCAAGCAGAGGACCCGGCCTTTGTTTCTCAACCTGGGCAAGAAGAAGGTGAAAAAGAACCCAGACAAAGCCCTGGATGTGCGGGGAAGGCATCACCACCTGGATCGGCGCCTCAGCCTCTCCGTCCCTGACCTGCTGGAGGCCAAGGCCATGGCCCCCGAGGGGCGGCCTTACTCAGGGCCGCAGTCGTCCTACACCTCGGTGCCCAGCAGCCTGTCCACGGCAGGGATCTTCCCCAAGAGCAGCAGCAGCTCCCTGAAGCAGTCTGAAGAAGACCTGGACTGGAGCCAGGAGGAAGCGGGCCGCCTCCACGTGCCGGACACAGACGCCGAGGAGCCCTTCGTGTCCCCCGCCGAGGACAGGAGGGCTTCCAGCAACGGCGTGTATGATCTGCTCCCGCAGAGGCCCCGCCGAGACGAGGTGCTGGAAGAGCCAGAGGTGAGACCGGGCTGGGCACTTTGTTCCTCTTTGTTTTTCTTTCTTTTTTAAGTGCATCGAGTGCCTTTGGAAAATTTGGTTAGGAGTTATTTTCGTGGTTAGCTTGGATGGAGAGAATGTCATTTACGAGAATTTAAATTAAGGTAATATTGATTGCACCCAGTGTTCCCATTAGTTTTGGGGTTGACCTCTATGTATTTAAAAACTATTACAAATAACCTTTCTAGGAGACTTCAAGGCATTAAAAGCCCTATTGGATGGGTTTTCCTTTTTCCATCTGCTGGCGAAGAAATTAAGAACATAACTTTTTCTCTGAATTGGCTTGAGTATGTGTCTGTCTCTCTGTTTCTATATCTCTCTGCACTATGGCCCAGGCCCACCATAGGCAAAAATTTATATTTCTAGTTCTAAGAAATGTATGGACGTGTGTCTCCTTTTGACTGCCAAAGACTGAATTTCCTCTTACTTCAGATGTATGTGCGTGTGTGTGTGCACACTTAGCTGTGGGCAGCTTTCACTTGCATTCTCTAAAAAAAAAAAAAAATTAAAAGACCCAAAAGGAAAGGAAACAAATTTTTAGTAATTCCGTGATTTTACAAAGCATTAATATTTCTGTAAAACAGCCAAATATAATTATGAGACAAATCTTGTATATTTAGAAAGAGATTAATTTAAATTCAATCACCAGATTGTGATTTGATGATCTATTTAATCATATTTTTTAAAAAAAATTTTCTACATCAATGAAGTAGGTTTCAGTGTTGAGGAAACGGGTTAATTTTTCTGTGTTCCAGGTTAGAGTGATCATTGCATAGAACACTGGTTATTCAACTGAGATTTTTGGTTTTAGTTTTAGAATCGAAGCCTATTAAATATGTCATATATTTCAGTTTTATTGGGGCATGGGATTGAGGAGGATGTGGTCAGATTCTTTTGGAAGCATTATTATGTCGAAACAAAACTACCCATTAAATGACTAACTGTTTTTTTCCCATTACCATTGATATTTATGAGATTCTTTTTGTAACAATTTTATGATTTTTTACTGCACTTATAAATTTGAAATATAGATTTTTTACTAATCAAAATAGAAGTTAAGTGAATTATTAACTAGTTTAGTATGAAGGAGGTAACGTGTTAAATAATGAATGGAAGGTTAATCTTTACTTCTTATTACTTATGAACTAATGAGAAAAAAAATGGGTGGACTTCTTGGCTTTGATATACTGACCATCTCAAGTTAGACGAATTTGTTGTAAGTCAGTGCTGTTAAACTCTTTTAGCATTTCAACAGCTTGGGCCGAATCTAAATATTTGAATGTCTGTTCTAACAAAGGCACCATAAAGGTTAAGATTGGAAATAGAGATGGATGAGAGAGACCCTGCCTTGGAGCTGTGATCTGGTGGGAGACAGCTTTGCGCAGCACTAAATGTAGCAGAAGAGGCCAACAGATTTGGAGCTGTCTATGCAAAACATCCAAACCTTGTCTCCTGGTAGATAGAGGGGATCAGTGGGTGGGGTATGAGGCAGTGTCCAAGCTGGCACGGAGCGGTAGGAGTCGACAGGTGAGGGGATTTGGCGAACATGGGCCTAAAGTATAGGTGGGACAGTTGACGGGGAGGGGGTGAGCATTTGGGGGCTTTCTGGAGCGATGGAGGTCTGGAGAGGTGGGCTGTGCCGAGGGGCTGGCTGGTCAGTGATGGCAGATGGATGCGCGTAGTGGTTATTTTCTCTTCTCCAGGCTAAATGCAGAAAAGGCTGGAATAAGCAGAGTTCTGTAAGGATAGGTTATTCTGGGTAATTTCATTTTTCCTTTTAAATTGGCCATTTTTTCCTTAAAAGAAAAAAAACCTTCTTTTTTTGCAAAAGAGCTTTTTGCTTCACTTTTCCTGCCCTAGGAAGGACAAGATAGAGATTAAGACTGATTCTTCATGTGCCACTTGAGGGTCATTTATCTGCTTGGTGGCCCTTTTGCAAAGGATGGAGGGACTGGGCTGTAGCTAATTAGACTCATAGGATCACTTGGGGGCCCTTGCATTGTTCTGCCTACCCCTTCCTTCCTGTCCTCTTCCCCCACTCCCTGCTGTGTGGGGCGGGACGATCTGCGCTGTTCGGCCCCTCCCACTACCTGAGAATCCAGTCTATCAGGTGGCACAGAAGGTGGTCACTCCCTTGCTTATCTTCTCCACTAGGCTATGTCAATTTGGGGGGCGGGAAGCTGAGGAAGTCACCTCTAAGGACAGTCACACCTTTGCCAGGTACTCTTGGTGTAACTTACTTTGTGTGCAGCTTCCTAGAGGGATAGGTAGGGGAAGAGGTGCCCGTGGTCCAGGGCACCACTGGGGTTTGTCTCACCTGCTTTGTGCCCAGTGCTGACTTGATTTCTGGCTGAGCCTGCAGCCATGAGATCTGACCCCAAATATCAATACCGTCTGAATGTTCTAGTCGCTTTCCAGTCCTGCCAGTGCCAGCAAAAGAAGCGAAGTGTTGACTTACAGTGACGGGGAAATGGAACAATGAGGCAAAGGAGAAAACTAGAGCTGAGGGGAGAGGAAGAAGGACAGTGAGATCGCAGAGGCCGGCGGTGCCTGGAAGTCAGTGCGCGCGCTCGAACCAGCCGTAAAATCAAAATGCGATAAAGTAGCTTTGGAGTGAAGAATATGTTGGTAGAAAAGGATGCGTCTCTCTCCTGAGCCCGGGTTCCCGTCACACTGATTGTCCCACAAAAACCCTGTCTCAGCTTCGGTTGACAGAATTCTCTGTCCCCGAGACACAGACCATCATTTCTTGGCAGCATCACCTAGTTGCTCCTAGTTGCTCAAGCAAAACTCCTGTGAATAGTGTTAGACTGTTTGACTTTTCTCACTTTTCATGTTCTATGAGATCTTTGTTTATTCATTTCACATCAGTCTCCTCCCTCATCCACTTCATTCCTCTCTTACCAAAACTCTCAGGTCCTTCAACCCAGCTGACACCTTCCTTCTCTTTGGTGCTTTTCCTGATTCTACGATGAGCGTAATCACCCCCACCCTCATCTGCATGACCGCAGTGCTGTGGCTTTCTGTAGAAATCCGTAGAGGGAGAAAGGGACTGAAACAGGTAGAGGAGACAGAGAAGGCAGATTGGTAGTGGGCAAGGGCGTCACTGGGAGAGTCGCCAGGCTTCAACGTATATATTAACTGTCTGGCTCTGAAGACGGACTCATGACGACCATGTGACCGTGGACATCCGTCTCAAATCAACATGCCGATCTGCCCAGCCAATGCAGCCAGGATTCATTAAAGTTTTATGGCACTTTCTCTTCTCTCTACAGAGTTCAAAGGCAAGTCCAAACTTTTACTTAGATTTCCTTGCATGACCTCTCCTTTTTTTAATTGACATTACTGTGTTAGTTTTATGTTATCACTTTCCGTCAGGCCGATATCTTGTTGTGGTTGCCTGGCAACCAGCTTGTCTCCTTTGGTGACTGTGTGTCAGGCCTTCCGGTGGGAGAAAGGTGGTCTCGTGGCTTCACCTCACTGCTTTCATCATCAAGACCCGGGGCTTGGGAGGCAGTAAGGGCGCCTGACCCTCTGGCAGACTCCACAACCACCTTGTATTAATTGTTTAGAAGCCGGCCTCTCTTGTCAGGTTGAAAGCTCCTCAAAGTAGAGAGAATGTCTTCTTTTGCTTCTCCCAGCCTTCCTGCAAACCTTGCTTATGAGAAATGTATTAATCTATGGCATCTCTGAAGCCACTTTTAAGCCACGGTCCCCTGCTAGGTGCTTTGGGGCCATAGCAAATTCAGCTGGGTTGGAGAAGGTGGTGACACGCGGGGGCACTGGGGGGGAGGGGAGAGGTCTAAAGGCATCCCCAAATGTTACGCTAAATATAAAGGAACAGAGTTAAGGAGATTCAGAGGGAGAGTAGTGTATTTTTCCTTCTTTCCCTCTTACTTTGCTTTTTCTTCTCACTTCTCTCCCACTAGCTGTGGGTCCGCCCCACTAGCTGTGGGTCCGCCATCATCCATGGGGGACATGTTCCAAGCCCCCAGTGAGTGCCTGAAACCATGGATGGTACTGGACCCTATATAGACTATGTTTTTTTCTATACATACATACCTGTGATCAAGTTTAACTTATAAATTAGGCATAATAAGAGACTTATAATAACTAATAATAAATTAAACAATTATAGCAATACACTGTAATAAGAGTTATGTGAATGTGTTCTCTCTCTCTCAAACTATCTTATTGTCCTGTATTCACCCTTCTCCTTGTGACAGCGTGACATGATACAGTGCCTACACGATGAGACGAAGCGAGGCAGGCACCTCGGACAAAGGGATTATTCGTGTTCCAGGCAGGACAGGGTGGGACAGGGCGGGACAGTGTTTGATTTCATCACACTGCTTAGAATGGCACGCGATGTAAAACGTATGAATTCTTTATTTCTGGAATTTTCCCTTTAATATTTTTGGACTGTGGTTGACCACGGGTAACTGAAACCTCACAAAGCAAAACCGCAGATGACGGCAGGACTACCGTACTCGCTCATGCCTTGTAGAATCAGTTAAGTATTTAGAAAAAAACAGAAAGTCGCTTCCGGTTCCTATCCACAGCGCCGATGACGGACTTGAGACTTGACCAGCTAGTCGAAAAAATGCCGGATGATGCCAAGCAGCCCCTAGTCAGTGCTTGGTAACTGGCTGGGTGGGAGGGGATCAGTCGCTCTGCGAAGGTGGCCAGGAGAGGCTCGAAGAGGACGTGTGTCGAGGACAAGACTCGGATAGATGGACAGTAAAACTGAGTAGTTACATTTCACGTCTATGAGGCTAGAAAAACAGAACGTTCTCAGCCTCGTCCCTGGCAGTCAGTCACAAGTTCCCAACAAAGACTCACTGCTGCGATTATGATTGTACTTGCTAGCATTATTTTAGTTATTTGTATCATTATGTTTTCAGAATGACGTAGGTAGCCAAAGAGCATTAATTACTTGTCTAATGTCATCCAACTAGTAA